GTTCATCGTCAAGCCAGAGCTAACATCTTCGCCCTGACATTGTATTCAAAACCAGCCATGATATATCTTCCCGTGGCCAATCTATAATCTCATCTGAATTAATATTATACTCGATGAATTATTTATAATATCACATTAAGAACCGCCTTGGCCCAACAATCGGGTATTGCATCAGGTCGCTAAATATATCACAGGGACCCTGTAATTATAATTAATAAAGAGAAAAGGAGTTTCTCTGACGATGGGTTCGTAGGCGTCAATTTCAAATAAATAATAAAAATAGAGTTGTTTAAATAAACAAAACCGATTATTTCTCCACTCAGTAATGAGAAAGAGATTTATACTTCCTGCCAAGACAGGCTTTTTATAAACTCGAAACTAAAGAACTCTATTGAATCGATTTATTTTATAAAAGATACACTGTCATTGTTACTGGTTTTGAGATAAGTTTTGGCTACAATTTTTATAGAAACATCTTTTAGTAAAAAACAAGCACATATTTCATAATACAATCCTTAAACAAACTTATTAAAACAATAGAATTATATGATTCAGAGCAGAAATAAAACAAGTGAACAACACTTGATGTTTCTACTGAATCAAGAGCAACTATAGGCTACAGCCATATAAGCAAAATTGGACTAACATGTAATTAGTTTGTGTGATAAAGGAGGGTTCAAGTTGATTTGTCTTTATTTTACGTTATTTTGATATTTTTTTTCTCTCATACAAACTATTCTATAGAAGCATCAGACTGTCTTACGAGATCAGACAAAATTAAGAATATTTTGATAATAAGACTAGTTGGCCGGTGCGAATAAAATTTTGTTTGGAAAAGGAATATCAAAACAATACGGAAATAAGTAGATCCTATGCATTATGTAAGGGAGGAATTAATTATTTTTCACGATCGATTACATTATTCCATTTAACATGATAGACCGAAATATTTGTAAACATCGCTTTGATAGGACCTATTTCTAAACGCTGACTGGAATTTTATAAATTATTAAAAAATATAAAATGTACAAAAGAAAAAATGCCATTAAGAAATAATAAAGTATATATCAGCCAGAAAAAAAAGTTGGTAGAGCAGCAAATGCAGTATTTTTAAAGAGGAAGAAATATTAAGAATAAAAAAAAAAAAATAGACAGTATCTTTGCTAATAATTGTCCGATTTTTACAATTGTTTTTCGTTTTGTAGGAAATTTACTGGTACTGGTACTGGTCAGGGGACTTAGCAAGTGGACCTATTGGTGCATTTTGCAATGTAGGAAATTTAGTAATCTTTTTAAGTATGGGTAAAATCAAGAAAAAAATGCATAATTTTTGAGTTATTCGCAAATAAAGTTTCTTTCCCTTCATAATTTTTTCCCTTAAATTTCGGGGGAATATGACTAATTTTGAGGACTCAATCATTGGATTTGATGAAGAATTGATGAAGCTATGGCGTTGCGACAAAAAAAAAACCTTTTAGAAATAATATATATGATTTTAAATTGCCCAAGTAGGACCTTAAGGGGTTGTTTTCGTGTTCATCCAATTTATTAAATTTTATTATATTTTTGAAGTTTGTAAAAAGAAAAGTTCCCATGAGCAATATTCGAGTTTTTTAATAATTACTCATACATTTATCATTTTAAAAAAATTGAGAAAATTGGCCGAAATCAGGTTAACACAAGAAAAAACTTATGTTAAAATTTAAAAAAAAAAAAAAAAACATCTAAACATGAAGCGATATTCAAACCGCTAAAATATGACATAAATAATGTAAACAGTGGTTGTTGGGATTATTTTGTAAATTTTTATTTATAAGAATTTCAATAATATTTTTTTATTCAATAGTAAAAACGTGTTGTTTATAAAATAACCTATTTTTTTTTATACCAAACTATGCAAAATAGTTGTTTTTTTTTTCAGAAATGTAGTTTTCTGGAATGAAATTCTCTTCATTCTGAAAATGTTCGGTCAAAACAAAACGATGTACGCCCACATGATTTTATGCCTCTACGAAAAAAACAAGCAAACTACGTATATCAAAGCGGGTAGAAAATAAAGAGACAATTCCGTATGGAAAGACTGGAGCGTGGGAGTAGTTGATAGGAACATGGATCAACGCAAAATGGATTCGTAGATGTCATCAAGAAATATCATTTGATATCTTCCTTGCTGTGCCAGGAGGTTTTACCTATGTAATATTGGTACTATATTTCCTGCTTTATATATAATAAGAGTTGCCTGAATAACATCCAGTATATAAGTAGGAAAACACAAGGATCATTAAAAAAAAAAATAAATCGCTTTTACGGCTTTATACTAAACAGATTTTTTACGAACAAGGTATGTTTTAAGTATTTTAAATATATACTAGTTTGATCATCTCTTAAATCTAATTCAATATGCTTAAAAGTTTGTCCTATGCCTAATTAATTAATTACTTCAACAGGAAAGCTCTCCTAGTTTAATGGGCTATAGTTTTCCAGAATGTTCTCACTGGCTTTATGCAAATCAATTAGCGCTAAACAAGAGATCCATACTGTTGAAAATTCAGGCCTTTGGTGCAAGAGTCGCTGTAAAATTTAACTTTTTTTTAATTGCTTGTTTGTCTTATAAACAATATTGCTGTTTTAATCGGCGTAAGAAACAGATAAAAATCCTTTCCTCTTGTATGCAACCTAGGGAATATGCATCATCGACGAATTGAAAATCTGTTATCCGTTTGTGCATAATCTAGACCAGTGGTCTCCAATCTTTTTGGTTCACGGGCAACATTGAGACCTCCACATAAGTCCACGGCTTGTTTAAAAAAAAATCTTGTTCTATAAATGATACTTCAGCAGTGAAATGAGCTTCGGAAGAGAGAAAAAAAACATGCAATAAATGCTGTACTGACCTCGTGTCTTAGTAATTTGCTAAAGTTCAAATTTTTGTGCAGGATTGAAAGTCCTTGCGGAGCCGGATTGGGCCCACGGGTCGTAGTTCGGAAACTCCTGATCTTGATAGTTATGTTTTTTGACATCAGTGCCAAAGAATGCGAATTATCTTTGAGAATAAACTAAGGTTAGTTTCGATGGTTTATTAAATGGTTAATGGTGGGCTGATATGATGTCTTATTCAATATCGTAGGCTCTCAGGAAAAATTCGTGAGTTTGACCTAGCAAGTTTTTGCATCCAGGCATCAAATTCTACAGGCTTAAGAAAAAACTGTAAAATAAAATTTCAAAAAAGTTACCCATAAACGATGAAAAAATAGTTTTGTACAAAAAAAAAAAACTTTCTTTCTCAACGAATTGATAAGGTTTAATATATAAAAAAATGTCTACATGACATTATATTAAAAAAACTTGGTTAGGCAATTTCTGTAGATAAATTTTTTTAAAGATATTTTATAAGTATACTAAAATACTGTAACAAATAATTTATTTTTGCGCGTTCAGCAGCAGATATATTCCAGAAATCTCATAAGAATAGAGTCGATGATTGTTTGATTTTTTTTTTATAAAAAAACAAATTAACAGTAGGATATAAAGTGGATATAGTTTCTGTAAAGAACTCTTTATGTGTTTTTCTTCTATGTGATTTAGGATTCTGATTCCAGATCGCTCCGGTTATCGTGCGGAGGATTTTTCTCAGAAATTTTTCAGTACTTCTTTGTAGGTTGTTGGTTAATGCCAGGTCTTGCAGCCGTTTATCATAGCATTTTGCACTCTTAATTTGAGATTTATTGAGATCTTTCGAGATTTCAATACCTTTGAAAGGGATATGAAAGCTCTATTAGCGCTTATTATACGCTGATCTATTTCCGACCGTTGGTCATTCATTGAGGTTCTTGCAGAGCCGAGGTATTTGAATTTGTCAATCCTCGGAAACGATTTCCTTTCTAAGCAGATCCCATTATTAGAGTACAATTTTAAATTATAGTAAATGGAATACTGTCAAGGTAAATTCTAGATAAAAATATTTTTTTAGTATTTAATAAACTTTATACCTAATATGGAAATATAATTTATGATATTAATATTTGATTAAAAAGTTTATTGCATAAATATTTGAGAAAAATTAATCAATTAAATAAAAACTAATAGATCCTGCTTTCGCTGAAGAATATTTATTTCATATTCAGTGGGTGCTCGAATCAGAACAAATCCCATTCGTAAAAGAACAAATCATATCTCGGGAAATGGGAATCTCTGTCAGATCAATGTCTTGCATAACAAAAAAGTGACTTTAGGATGGGTTCATTTCGAAGAATAATGGGAAAAAGGCTAACTAATTCCGTTACACCACTGGTCTTCATCGAAAGATTTTGTTAAAAGTTTTACAATGGAAGAAAAATTTAATCGTCAAAATGATCGTGGGTAAGCACACAGCTCTAAAGAAGCCCATAAAGTCATTGGAAGAATGAAAAGAGGTCAGCCCACTGCCTTAGTGATGGTTTGGTGGAGAGTTTCCTTTGATGGTACCACAATGCTCCATTTTTGTGAAAAAGGAGTTAAAACAGCCGCTGAAAACTAACAGGGCGATATTTTGGAACCTGTTGCTAAGCCTCTAAATGATACTCTGTTTGCTGGCAGTCATTGGGTTTTACAACAGAAGTCTGCTCCAATTCACAACATGATGACATGACACAGAGCACATCCTAACTTGGAAAGCCTCAAACAATCTCTATTCAGAGCAGTTGAGCGTTTTCCTCAAGAAGTACTGCGTGCTGCTATTGATGACTGACCACGTAGATTAAATGCCTGTGTTAAGGCAAAAAGGGGATATTTTGAGTAATTTCTTTTTTATTTTACTCTCTATAGATATACATTTTAGTTTCTAATAATTTTTTTGAAAAAATATTTGTTCTGATGAAACATTTACTTAACATTAGGAAATATATACTTCCTTGTAACAATATTTATGACAGGACTGGGTACATAAAATGTATAGTGCTTATATACTAACGTCATGAGAACTTTGAGACACAAATAATTTTAAGATGGTAGTAGTTAATTACCTTACAGTTAAGAAAAAGCGTCATTTTTCATTTTCTCAGGATGAATAACACTAAGCAACATTACACGCTTACACTTAAAAGCACTGAAGACATATTTTTACACAGTGATCTGGCAATGAGTCTATGAGAAAACTGACTAAACAAAATGTTTCGGCAATTAAAATTGATAGAAGAGAAGCTAATTCGTTTATGTTAATGATAAAACTCATTTCCATAACCTTCAAATCTACATTAAACACAAATACTACACTGAAGGTTTCACCTTCAGCTATAATAATACAATGCAAAAAAAAAAAAAAATTATTATCAATCTTCCATAGTAATAAAAATGAAAAGCCATGAAACTTAATTACTTGTAAATGTTTATTGTTTTAATTAAATTTGAAATAGGTATTGATAAAAAAAAAAAAAAGTTTCAAAGACATTTTTTGTGTTAATAACTAACACATTTAATATAAAACTTAAACATATGTTTCTATTTGTACACTTGCTATGAGCAAAAACTTTGATGTAAATTGTGCTTATTATAATAGGAAAATATTTTTAAAAAAGTAGTTGGCCAGTGCGATATTTCGTATAGTATATTGCTAAGTGAACAATTGACAATATAATATAGAAATAACTAAGTGCAATGTATTATGAGATAAGGAAATAATTTTCTTCTGAGTCGAAAAATATTAGTTTATTCATTATAATAAACAAAAACACGTGCATTAATATATTAATATTGCCAGTAACTTTGCGAATCAATTGTCCAAATTCAATGATTTTTTTAGAGAATTTAGGGAGTGGGGCAGCTCAGTAGTAGGACACTCAGCTTCCAATGCTGAAGGTCCCAGGTTCGAATCCCGGCTAATGGTAGAAAAATTATTTGTTCTGTTTCATTGGCTGCTTGGGGCGACCCTGGGGTAGGCAGATCCTCCTGGGGCACACACAGCCTTTACAAACTGGATACCCTTAATTAAATAATTCATTGAGGGAGAAAACCTGGCGGTTGAGCGTGATCCTGGCCCAATGTCTTCCCTGCACATCCGTTGGCCTTGTAATAGTGCTTTCCCTAAATAGTACTGAACCCAAGACCCTTCATGGATTGTAGTGGTTCAAGTTTTTTTTTTTTTTTTTTTTTTTGTAGAGAATTAAGTAATCATTCAAATAAAAAAGGCTGTGATAAAAGAGAAAAAAATGTATATTTTTAGTTAAATATTTATTGAAAAATTGTTTATTCTGTTTCATCAGCAGTGGGACGACCCTGGGAACAGGAGATCCTCTTTGGACACACCCATCCTCTATAAAGTAGGTACCTGTAATTAAAGGGGAAAATCTGACGGTTGGGCGTCAAATCACCTCCTTGCGCATCCGATGACTAAGAAATAGTACTTTCCCTTAATATTACTGAATCCAAGACCCTTCATGGGTTGTAATGGTATAGTTTTTAAAAAAAATATATTATTTAATTTTTATCGTCATAGTGGTATAAATCATTATTTAGTTATTTATATATAGTTAAAGACAGAAAATATAATGATAAAAGTAAAATAATAAATTATAGTTTTACTTTTATCATTATATTTTATTTATTACTGATTATCATTATTGCTTTTATTTTATATATTTGGTTGGTAGATTATTTTATTATTATATATTTTTACTCTTTTAATTATTTATATTTGTTTGCCTTGTATGTATATTCATTATTGTCATAATAAGTACATATTGAAACGCAGGTTCAAAAATGAAATGACTGAGCAGAAGTAATTTGTGTATTGCATAATAGCGCGATTGTTTCGTAAATATTTCCTAGTAAGAAAGTGGTTGCAAGTTAATTAATTTAAAATATCACGAAATATAAATTAGGTTCTCGTACTTTTTTTTTAATCTTATTCTGAAATGAATAAAATATATTTAAATTCTATCTTTTGTATACAAGCTGCTACGAGAGCTGAGTATGAAGTAATCAAAGAGAGTGGTTATAGATGAAACACGGCGTACTTAAAATTATGCAAGAGGATCCATTAGATAAAAGCCCTTTGTATTTTCAAAGCCCCGAGTAATCTCCCAGAATTATTCCTTTATTATACTTTTGTCAGTGTAAAATTTTAGCTCTCTCTTTCTTTTACAAAGTTAAATCTCCGTTTAGGGTTGTAATGGGCCCCTCGACTCTTTTAAGTAACATTAGCCTTTCTTTCTCTCGTTATAACAGAAAGAGGTGAGGCGAAAAAAGTAGTGCGGAAAATGGCTGCTATTCGAGGAGGGTACGTTATATCAGAAGGCGAAATATAAAACCTTCTTTATGTAAAAAAAAAAAATCATAATCATTAAATATAACATAAAATATATATTGTTTGCAATATTTAGTGTTCTAAGATTATCAGAACATGATTAAAAAAAAAAAAAAAAAAAAAGGAAACAAGTAAAATTTACTTTATTAAAACATTCTTTACTAAAACAACGTTTAACGCTGGTATTTACCTCATACCAGACTGAAACGACAAAAAAACGTTCGACGTTTCCGATTACCTCAGCACTTACTAAACTTCCAATTAATTAAAAAAGACTCATATACATGACTATAATAAGGCCTGTTTGGAATTACGGAGATGAGCTATGAGGCTTCACTAAACCATCGAATTCCTCTCGTAACCAATTCTTACAATCCAAAATCCTTCATGCTCCCTATGTTGTTCCAAATAAAATCATCCATGATGACCTTAATGTTTCTTATGTTTCAGATCTGGCCCAATGCAGATACCTATCCTTCCATAATAAACTTCAGAATCATCCCAACCCTCTCGTTTCTAATCTTGTGTCTAAAAAGAAGATGGCCCCGTGATCTCTTTATGTAGACATATCATTTGAGTGCTACCATTGGGTAGTTTCCCAACAAGTGTTTTAACGTCATTATGTCCATATGTTCAAATTTACTAAATGTATTTCTTTAATACAGTTGTAAATATCATTAAGAAATAAAAAAAAAAAAAAAACGCTGGTATTTACCATGCCTAGGTAATAAGTATTAGTAAGATCATAATTTGTTACTTTTTGATACTATTAATAGTTTTCTTTTTTTTAAGGGTTATCCACTGCGTATTATATAATGCATATAATCTATTATAAGGTATAATATATAGTACTATTTAAGCCTAATATAAATATAATATAATACAACAATAAGACGTCTATCTGTTCCCAATTATTATTAGAATAATAGTATAAGCCTAATATTATAATATACAAAATAATGTATTACTAGTTGGCCCGTGGGAATAATGTTTAGTAAAGAAATAGCAAAACAATATGGAAATAAGCACATCCTATGTATTATGTAAGAAAGGAATTAATATTTTTTCCTTGGTACAATATTCCATTTAACATAATAGAACAAAATATTTGTACAAATTTCTTTGGTAGCACCTATTTTTAAACGCTGACTGGAAAGATAATAAAGACAAAATAAAGCATCGATTATGGGATTTTCTAAATTATTAATAAAAATAAAATGTAAGAACAAACAAATGCCTTTAAGAAATAATAAAATGAATATATCAGCCAGGAAAAAAAAGTGTAGTAGACTATTCTCCTCCTAAATGCAATATCTTTAAAAAGGAAGGCATTATTAAGTATACCAAAACCAATGGACTGTATCTTTGTTAATATTAATGTCTGATTTTTACAATCGAGAAAAAAAAATTAAAAAAAAAATGATACGACTATTTTTTGCATGTGAAGAAGAATATCTTCAAAATGAGTGGTCGATCATCGAATTTGATGAAGAATTGACGAAGTTATGGCGTACCGACAAAAAAACACCTTTTAGAAATAACATATAGGATATAATGAATACAACATGTATAGGAATATATACTTTATTTTATTTATTTAACGTATTTATTTTAAATTGAAAAAAAAAATTGTTATTTTACTTTCTTTCATTTTTAGAAGTGGTTCACTTATTCACCATTTTCGATGGATTTTTTACATAGGTGTTTTGTTCGTTGTTTAAATATTTTGTACATAGTTTTACATTTTTTGTATATAGCTGGTTTACTTAATGTATTCTGTTTTGTTTTTTAAATTTTATTTAATGTATCAAGTCTTTGTATCAGAGTTAATATTTTCTATTGTACGATATTGTAATTCTTAAGCGACTTCATCTCAGGATAAAATTATTTTCCAATTTATATTTCTATTCATATGTGTATATATTTAATCCTCTAGCAAAAAAATAATCTAAAGTCTATGTAATGTATGCAAGTATGACAAATATTCTTTTCCAATGCTGTTGAGCAGAAAAATGGAAAACAAATTAACAAAACTAATGAGAAGGAATTGGTCGGTGGGTGCGGTCAAATCAATAATAAATTTTTAAAAATAGTATTTTTAATTTTTTTTGCCGATGTTTCGATCCACTTTGCATATCTTCATCAGGGCTATAAAAGATACAAAACATAAAAGGTACATGGTGAATATAAAGTAAATGAATTATAAGTAGATATTAAATAAGAAACAGTTGTCTGATAAAGAAATAATAAGATGAGATCAGAGATATAGTGAATGACAGTGCAGTTAAAATTTCAAGTATTATATATATAGAAGATGCAAACAAAAATAGAAAATAAGTATGAATAAAAATAGAAAACAAATTAAAAGCATGTAAGTTAAAAGTAAACATATTGTGATAAAAAACAAGAAATGGGTGTATGACAAACTGGTAAAGAATACGTTTGATAACTGTAGGTTAACATATAAAGAAAATGAGTGTTGATGAATAACAAACAGAACAAAAGCTAATAAATTGAATTACTAGGAAATATTATTTTCTCTGCCAAATAATTCCTTTTATAAAAAACAACTTCCTTCCATTGTTGGCAAACCTCACAATTTCAGGGTTTTTTTTTCTGGAATAGAGCTGGAGCAACCAGCTTAAAGATTTCTTATGTTGCAGAAGAATTTCTATTTATTTTATTTGAAAGTGGGTATAATAAAAAAAAACTTTTAAACATTTTTTTTATTAACTTATCAGTTAATATATTTTTAAAAAAAACTAATACATCTTACTACATTAATTAAGTTTAAAAAAATAATATTTTCCGCTGCTTACAATAACAAAAGAGCTGCTACTAGTTGAGTTAACAGTTCCGTACAGAGTAATAATTTAAATACAAGTCAAAAAGAAATTAATATCTATATATAGTGAAAATATTTTTTTTATTATTAATACATAAACATAGAGGTGGACATAAAATTAAATTAGCGATCAGAA